TTCCTAGAACACTCCAAGCATGGCCCCACCTCATAACCTTTGCAAGAGCTAATCCCTCTGCCTAGAATGCTTCCTCAAATATCTATTTGGCTCAAAACCCCAGGACTAGGATAAAAGGTCACTTTTTTCATTGAGGCGTTTCCTGCTAGCCTTATTTAAAAGTGGAATCCCCTCTCCCTTCTGACACTGCAGATTCCCCTGCTTTGCATTTTTCTCCATAGCAGTTGCATGTTTTATTTGTCTTTTTCTTCCTGCTAAAATATAAGATCCATCCTGACAGGAATTTTTGTTTGTTTACTGCTCTTGCTGCCCATATAAGAATATATGGTATATATTATGTATCCAATAAATATTTGCATTTATACATTCTTAACTGGCCAAATTGCAGTGTCTAGTCCTTCATGAGAATGAATTCTTTACTGTTGACAGATTATTCATACTTAAGGGAAATGCAGGTGTCTTCAATGAGGTGAAATTAATTTGTCTTAGGAAAAAATTGTTGCAAGGTGTTAGTCTTGTATACCATATTATGCTTTCATGTTGTCTGCTTGTAGAAACCACGCTGACTCAAATTTGCATGACTTCCTGTAGAATTTCTGGCAAGAAAAGTAAACAGTAAATGTATACTTACTTGTTCCTCAGACCTTTGCTTTTAGATTTTATTTTCTAAGATCTAGAGTTCTTTTGTACATTTACTTATAATGTACTGTTTTTAATTTGGTGAATACTGGCATAACCTATCAAATTAGAGGGTTTTTGCATCATCACTTTAATTTGTAAATAGAAGTGATTTCAGTGGAAAGCTTGTTGTGAGTGGCTTGACAGGATTTTTAAAAGGATGCCCAGTAAGTGTGGGTTACATTAAATGGGGCTGATTTTGTAAAGTTCGTTCATGCCCTTGAATTCTCTATATTTATATTTGAACTTAGAATTACAGTTGCCAAAGCAGGATCTGAATTTTACTCCATAATTTAGTATCTTTAACAAAGAAGAAAGCTGTCTTTCTGGAAATGTGTAGGTACAGGCTTGCCAGGGACAGAAGGACTAGCCCTTTTGAGGCTCTTTGTAATCCAGTGGTTATAGCACTGTTAAGGATGTAATTAAATTGTAAATCATTGTAGGTTCTTTATCACCCTAGAATTAAAAATTAAGGGGACTTCTCTGGCTGTCCAGTGGTTAAGACTCTGCATTTCCAATGCCGGGGGTGTGGGTTCGATCCCTGGTCGGGGAACTAAGATCCTGCATGCCACATGGTGCAGCCAAAAAAAAAAAAAAAAAAATTAAAGAAATTAAGGTAATAAGTGTACATGGGAAAAAAACAGTAACTGTTTAGAAGGTATATATTGTAAATCATGCTCCTGGCCTGAGTGAAAACATACTAAGTACTCACAAATATTTCTATATATACTGTTTATATTATCATGTACCTTGCTTTTTTCACTTATTAGTATCTCTTAGCCATCTTCCCGTATCAGTTTATATAGGTGTTTTATTCTTTTTAACCTCTCCATGGTTTTCCGTTTTAACATTGTGCCATGATTAAGTGATGGGTATTGTATTATTACATGCATTTTGGCTTTTGGTTCTCATCTAGGTAGATGTTAGCAGTTGAGCATTGACAGTGGATATTTAAACTTGTAACATACCCCTCTTCAGAGTTTTAAGTAGTCTCTGTTGTGTTATTGACTTAGTCTTACTGGCAGTGCACTGTCTTAGCTTGGTAGACCTCTGCTTGCTTGTTCTTCTTCCAGCCCCCTTTCTTTATTCTTCTTTATCTTTTCCTCTTCCCTCTTTAATTTAAAAGGATTTCTCTGTCACAGACCATCATTTTCTAATTCTTCAGTGAAGTCATATTCTTTTGTTAAAAATGGAAATGTTGCCTAGGAAATGGAAATTCCCCAATTCAACATTTTAGAAGTTAGATTCTATAAAAGATAAAGGGTGGAGAGAATATTTGGATGCGTATTTGAATTTGATCACTGTTATGTGTCAAGTACCAGCCTCTTCCATCATCTGGTAAATTAAAGTAAAAATCAATTTTTACTTGAGTAGGTAGAGCAGAATCAATGCCAGAGAGAAAACTTCAGAAAAAAGTTTTCCAGTAAGGTATACAGGTGCTGAGTTTATGCTAAAATGTATGGCTCTGTAACTGTTGAGTACTTTCCAGCTGTGGTAGGTTGTTTATGATTTTTTTATACAGACTGTTTGCTTTGCATTCTTATGGGTGTCACAGAAACTAACATTAGTTTATCTGAATTGACAGGTGCAAGAACATTTAACTGTTAATGTGTAGTTGAACTCCTGGGGGAGGGGGAAGGAACAGAAGCTTGCTTTTATCATGCATCTGTTAACACTGATAGAACATAGTGTTTCATTTGGCAGAAATTCCTTTGCTGGAGATCTCAGTATGGTATTAAGAATTGAAAATCTGGGAATTCCCTGGTGGTCCAGTGGTTAGGACTCTGTGCTTTCACTGCCGGGGTCTGTGTTCGATCCGTGGTCAGGGAACTAAGATACTGTAAGCTGTGCAGCCAAAAAAAAAAAAGGAATTGAAAATTTAATAATAAGTTATCCTTCTCCCTGGTAGTGGTCCTTCCAAACTGAGCTTGGAGGAATAAGATGGGATAAAGGTTGTTCTGTTTTCTGAGAAGACAAACACTGATGACTGGGTAGAAAACTTAATGCTAGAGCTGTAACCTTTTAAGCCTGGCTGTCACTACAATGCTGGTCTTTCAGTGCCTTTCTCAGCTGACACACATATTAGCTGCCATAACAGCATTAAACCGAAGGGATTCAAACAGGTTAGAATTTCCTTGTGTTTTGCTCTGCATTGCACGCAAACCATTGTTCTTTGAGTAGTTATTTTAATAGTGTTTTCTCCCCTTATTATAAGGTCACAGAGTTGCAAATGAACATCCAACCAAATATTTGAAGAAAAGTTACACTGTCATGAATAAGATTATGACTTGAAAAATATGTGGATACCTCCATTAGTCAAAATTGGAGGGAAAATAAGACCTGGGTTCTTGTCCTTGATCTGCTGCTAATTAGCAGTGTGGTCTTAAGTTTTTGTAATCTCTCTGGATCCCAAACAGCAACTTTTTTTTTTAAAGGTCAGTGTGTTTGATCTCTTTAAGTTTCTGCCAGCTTTAAAATTCCTTGACTGTACAAGGAGTACTCTGTGAAATGTGTGATCTAAAGTGGCTGCGTTTTAGGGTTACAGTTAGAATTATGAGTTAGATTATGAGTTAGGAAGGGTGATGGTGTGTATTATGTTTTTGTTAGTTTGAATGTAGAAGTTTTGTGTGTTTACTGTAGTGGATAACTCATTATGCTGAGGTATTGAAGTTCTTACAATGCCATTTTGAATTTCTTGTGTCTCTCATATTTTAGGAACGTTTTAGTTTTGAGCTTGTGTCTATGGTAATATAATCAGAAGTATATAATTTACAAAATAAAATGCCATTAAGAATATCATAAAAAGAAGACTTGAAGATAGAAGATTAGGCTTGAAAGTTTGAGGCTTAGGTTTGTTCTTACCTCTTGCAGTTTCTTCCTGCAGGTGCCTCTGCAGTCATTATCTTTCATTTGTCTGGTTACAGTCATCTTTTTTAGAGTTCTAAATAAGCATTTATTGGTGGCTTAGGGAAGAGGCAAGTAGAAGAACTTAGACCTCGTCCCTATTTCCAGAGGAACTTATGATTATGTTGACACTCTGACTGAGCCAGCTATACAGATTACTGTGTTTCAAAAATTCTGCCACTTCTCTTCTTGCCTTGTTTTGGTAGGAATAATATTTGCGCAGGAGACTGCTGTGTGAATCATTAACCTTTGGATGCTTTTGTACTCTTGAGGTAGTGATGTGAGAAATAATAAAAAGATAAATTGGACTAGAAATGAGAGAATGGGATTTATATATTAGCTGAGTCAGCTGGAATTGTGGTACCTTGGGAAAAAATACAGGACTTTTCAGAAGAGTCTGAATTTGGGCCTAGCTAATTCATTCACCTTAGACAAGTCACTTTTCTGATCCTCTTTCCTCATTCATCATAGGTAGTTAAAAACTACTTAGAGTTGTGAGGAAAAGAAGATAACTGGTATCATATGAACTTTATGAACTGATATCATAAATGGGGCCAATGCATATATTTTGGATTGAAAGAATTAAATCCTCAAAGTGGAATTTTGGTAAATAGCCTTCATTTACAGATATAATTTTAACCAAAGATAGTTAACATCAAAGCAGACAAATAAGGAGATCATTTGATGTGAACTTTATAAAAGAGTCCATGGAGTGAAGTTTTAAGTATCTTTTAATCATTTAAAAATGATTTTAAATGATTTTAAAAATTCATTTTAAAATGACGAGTTAGAAATAATCTTATTAGTATAGAACTTTATTGAGCCTCGTTTTGAAAAAAGGAAGACATATTTAACTTTTTTTTTTGGCTGCACCATGCGGCATGTGGGATCTTAATTTCCTTACCAGGGATCAAACCTGCCCCCCCGGCAGTGGGAGCACGGTGTCTTTTATTTATTTTTTTTAGTATTTATTTTATTTTATTTATTTATTGGGTTGCGCTGGGTCTTAGTTGTGGCAGGCAGTCTCCTTTGTTGCGGCACATGGGCTCCTTCGTTGCGGCAGGCAGGCTCCTTAGCTGTGGCTTGAGGGCTCCTTAGTCGTGGCATGCACACTCTTATTTGCAGCATGCTTGTGGGATCTAGTTCCCTGACCAGGGATGGAACCCAGGCCCCCTGCATTGAGAGCTCGGAGTCTTAACCACTGGATAGCCAGGGAAGTCCCAAGACATACTTAACTTAAATCTCTGACTTTTAATACTCTTGGTATGTACTTCTGTCCTATTCTTGGTAGATGGCAGTAGTTTAGAAGTGGCGCCATTTCAGATGTCTTTGGGCTCATAAAGAATGTATTCTTGACTTTTGGGCATTGTGTTTGCTGTCAACCTCCAGTTCATTTTCTTTATGATTGTCTCCTCCAGGTTTTTCGTTGGAATATACGTTGCACATTTATGGCGATTCTGAGCGTGAGGGCAGACTTCTGCCAGGCTCAGCACAGCGTTTCCGCTGACAAGTGAGCTTGGAGGTTCTATGTGCCATAATTAACATTGCCTTGAAGACTCTGGACACCGAGACTGGCCTCAGAAATAGTTGGCTTTTTTTTTTTTTTTTTATTGCAAGCATATATCTTTTAATGACTCCAGTAAAATTAAGCATCAAGTAAACAAAAGTGAAAAGCGACCTACTCTTTTAACTTGTCTCACTAGTGCCTAAATGTAGTAAAGGCTGCTTAAGTTTCGTATGTAGTTGGATTTTTTTGGAGTCCGAAGGTATCCATCAGCAGACATTGAGGCCCAAATTGAATTTGGATTCAAGTGGATTCTAAATACTTCTGCTTATCTTGAAGGGAGAAGCTTCTTAAAGAATAAACAAGTTGAATAGAGAAAACACTGATCGATAATAGGCATTTTAGTGGTCTTTTTAATGTTTTCTGCTGTGAAACATTTCAAGATTTATTGATTTTTTTTTTCATTTTCCCCATCACACTCACACACGCACGCTCACACTTTTTATTTGCCATAATGAACCGTCCAGCCCCTGTGGAGATCTCCTATGAGAACATGCGTTTTCTGATAACCCACAACCCTACCAACGCTACCCTCAACAAGTTCACAGAGGTAAGATTGTAGCATGGTCTACGTTTTGGATTGATTTATAGGTAAAATCCTGTTAAAAATTAACACCACTCTAAAGAAATCTTATACCACAAAGCCATTTATTTCTGTGATTGGAGTATGGATGATACTGATCCTGTGGATCTTACCAGTCTTTGTTTGAATTGAGTTGAATTAGTTAAAACAGATTTTTAAAAGAACATTTATGGAATTTGAGGAGATCTTAGAGATTGTCTAGTACTGTGTTTTTTCCTTTGAACATTATTAGCAGTTCTTTTGTTACAGTTTCAATAATAAAGCTAATTAACATTTATTGAATACTTAGTACGTACCCAGCATTACAATAAGCAGTTTTATGCATTATATCATTTACTCCTCACAATAACCCTATGAGGTATAGGTACCATTATTTCCCTTACAGATGAGGAAACTGAGGTTCAGAGTGGTTTAGTAATTTGCCTGAAGGCACACAGTATGTGGTAGAACTATCTCTGACACTAAAACCCATTTCTTCCTAAAATGCCCTAACCACTTTTGATGAAAAGCTACCCTAGAACTACTTAGCAGTAGGAACCACATTATTCAAGGGTCCAGAAATTTAGGGGAAGGAAAGGTATTATAGGTAGCATTTTTATGTCAGATCCTGCATTTTTTCTATTGGTAGTAGTAGAGAAACATTTTGTACTTCATTCAACAGGCATTTGAATGTAAGCTTTTTAATCATTCTCAGATTGTTCAGTCTCAATGATTTCTGTTGATGTATTTGTGGAGTAGACTTAGAGAGCTAGATGAACTCCTAGGGATTCTAAATCTACCTCTCTCACTTTACAAATGGCAAAACTGAGTTCAGAAGAGGTTTTGACTTGCTGAAGGTCACAAATATTTACCATAAAAAATTTCTACTGGAAACTTTCAATGAACAGCTACTGTGGAGTTCACTTTAATGGGATTTTATTTGTATTTTGAAATTTTTAAAAATTTCTGACTCATTATATAACATTAGCAACTCTCCTGAGTCTGTTTTATGAGAAGGCGTTTCTGTGAATAATAAAGTCCTTTAGCAATTAAAATAACTTTCTCTTTAGATAACCAGATGATGGACACTTCTTGTAGGATATCACTGTTCTGCTTATTTATATTTTTAATTCTCTGAGCTTCTTAACTTTGTGTACACAGTGTACAAGTTAATTCCAGGCCGGTATGCCCTCAGGTTGTTCAGTCACCTTTAAGCCTGGCTGAATTACATGATACTATTTTCAGCCTGTGGATTCCTTGGTCATAGACTCCTGCAGCTATAAAAAGATGTCGGTGGCCTCTTGAAGTTAGTTAGTGACTGGATTAGGCATTACTGTAGGAAAACTTCTAAAGGAGCAAGACTTCTGGCTGTAATTGTGTGTTACTTGACTTTGTAATATAATACCACTATTTAATCTTAATTTCAAAATTGCTTTTGTTTCTTTAAATTATAAAAAGCAATATGTACTTAGTACATAAAAATGAGAAGTTACAGATAAGCAAAAGACAATTTAAAAATACTGTTAATACCTGGTGTCTAGATGTTTTTTCTGTATTTATGTATATATTTATAAATATACATATAGATAGGATCACACTGTGTATTTTAGAAAAATTTCCCCCAACCTCCTTAGTATTATTTTTATAGCTTTCATAGTATTCTGTATGGATGTGCTATACTTTTTTAACCATTCACCTGTTTTTGGACCATTAATGTTTCTGTCTTTATACCATCCCAAACAACCCGTGCTAAACATGCTGGTACCTAAATCTTTGTGTATATCTTTAATTATTTCTTTAGTATAAATTCCCAGAAGTAGAATTTCTAGGTCAAAGTGTGTGTGTGTTTTTAAAGTTTTCGCATTAATGCTACCAAATTGCCCCTTACAAAGGTGGGCCTTATTGATGCTTCCACTTTGAATGCAAGAATGTCTATTGTATATGTTGTTACAACGAGAATGATTTTGATCTTTGTCTGAGAATGAGGTCTCGTTTCAGTTTATAAGAGTATATTTTTAAAGCTTTCATTGCAGATTCTAAAAACAAGTTTCCTTACATTTGTTTTTCTTTAAAGGAACTTAAGAAGTATGGAGTGACAACTTTGGTTCGAGTTTGTGATGCTACATATGATAAAGCACCAGTTGAAAAAGAAGGAATCCACGTTCTAGTGAGTGTGTAGTGTTTTAATTTTTCACTACAAACAACTTGTACCTTTCAAACACAGATATTTTTAAAACTTGGCACTCATAGTTTGCTTTTTAAACTTACAGGAGATACAGTAATCATAGCAATCTGTTAAAATTCCTTTGGATTGGCAGTTTTGTTCATTTATGCCCTTGAAGTCCACAGATGCAGAGTATTTTCAACAAAAAAGGCAAAATTTAGTGCACACTTATTTCAAGAAAATGGAAATTTCATTTTTTTTCTCTAGGAAATTACTGTGACATTTAGCTTTTGTTTCAAGGCTACTGGTTTGAATCTAACTGAAAGTAGTTTCCATCAGACATTCTTTTTTTCTTTTTTTCGTGGTACGTGGGCCTCTCACTGTTGTGGCCTCTCCCATTGCGGAGCACAGGCTCCGGACGCGCAGGCTCAGCAGCCATGGCTCACGGGCCCAGCCGCTCCACGGCATGTGGGATCTTCCTGGACTGGGGCACGAACCCGTGTCCCCTGCATTGGCAGGCGGACTGTCAACCACTGCGCCACCAGGGAAGCCCCTATGTGCCTATTTTTTATTGAGAGTTAGTTCTGTAGTCTTTACTGCATTGGTTGGTAGTTGAGAAGGCAGTTGATGCAAAGAAAATAAATGTCCTGTTGGTAAGGCAGTTGTCTCACATCTGATACATAAAGTTTCCTCACTTCCACATTGGTGAAAACACAAAAATCAAATAGCCAAACATTATGTTTTTTAAAATGTATTTTAATAGTATGGCATGGTAATAATACTTTGCTTGCATTCCTATTTCTAAATGACTTTAAGATCCCCTGGCTGGAAATCACTGGGGATAAGTATAAACGTGTATAAAATGTAGCCCTGTGTTTAAAAAAATAAAAACAGAGTTTTAAGTTCTGAAATTAAACCAAATACAAGTTCCTTTTCCTGTATTGTATGTTCTTTAGAGAGTAGATGAGAAATCAGTTTGTCTTGACAGTTGGCAGGGTGAGAAAATGAACTGCAGATTGACCGTAGTCTGTTTGAATCAGTAATGTTGGTAAACACCTTTATGAAATAGAAATGAACTAAAGAACTTGAAGTAGTTTGTGGAAGGTAGTGGTAGATCTGGGATTTATTCCAGGCCTTTAAATCTAGGCTTTTGTTTTGTTTTAAAGAGCTGTGATCAGATAAAATTAAAGGTCTAACTAAAGCTGGAAAAAAACCAAGGATATTTAGAATTAAGCTTGGAATTTCTTTTTTTTCCTAGGCAGAATTTTTTTTTAAATTTTTTAAATAAACTTTATTTTTTAGAGCAATTTTAGGTTCACAGCACAACTGAACAGAAGGTACAGAGATTTCCCATATATGCCCTGATCCTACCCATGCATAGCTTCCCCCATAATCAACATCCCCCGCCAGAGTGGTACACTTGTTACAACTGATGAACCTACACTGATACATCATCATCACCCAAAGTCTATAATTTACATTAGAGTTTGCTCTTGTATGTTCTAGGGGTTTTGACTAATACATAATGACATGTATCCAGCACTATAGTATCATATAGAGTCGTTTCATGACCCTAGAAATCTTCTGTGCTCCACCTATTCATCCCTCCCTTCTCCCTAATGCCTAGGCAGAAATTTTAGTTTAAGTTGGATTGCTAATTTACTTTTGCTAGGTGAAGAGGGTTTGGAACACCTTATAAGAGGATATTCCCAAAGTGAGACCTTTCAACCCTTTGACCAATGTTCTTGTAAATCAGAAGCACATTGGAAAAGACTAATGGTGGTTTCAGCCATGTCAGTTTGAAGTTCAGATGCTTCTAAATTACTGCTTTAGTGATTTTTTTGGATAGAAACTGCTTGTATGAGTAAGTAAAGCATGTTTCATATTATTGTTTCTTAACTAGATGCATTTTAGGGAGTCTTAGAGGAAGTAAGCTCTTGACTAAGGTACTTACTAGTTTTACTGCTATTTACAGTTAAACTTTGTAGTGACATTTATAATGATAACATTGACAGCCCTTTAATTATGGGGCGTAGTTGACAAACATAATGTGCTCTCATGGCTAATGGGCTCCATGAAGTGTTCTAGTGGTGCCAGTAATGAGTGCACAATCAATTTAGTGCTCTGTCACTTTTCCCTTTTTCCTTCTCTAATATTTTAAAGTGTCCTTATCCAGTCTCATTAGAATAGTATTGTTAAAAAAAAAAATTCCCAGTGTCTTTGCATTTCTGTCCTTGAAGTTAGATGGGACAGAGGGTATGATGCAATATGTGAATGTCCGTTCCCCCCTTTCTTCAAAATGACTTGTGTTGGTTTCTCAGGACCTTGTGCGAGGTAACAAGGAAGATAAATCCCTGCCTGTATTGTGAATGCACATGGGGTTGGTCTTAATTGAAAAACAACCCAAATCAATGAATATAAAAAGAGAAGGGAATACTTGAGAAAATGGTTTTCATTTCCTCAGGATCATATCATGTGGCACTATACTTGTAAAATGGGGTGTGTATAATTTAGGCTGAGCTTTAAAAATATTTGCTGCTTGACTTTAAAAAAAATACATATGTAAGCACAAAGATAGTAGTATGTTTCTATTATGATCTGTTGGAAATTACTTATCAGAGTCTTTAAAGAAAAGACATCATAACTTAGAGCTATTTGGGGATAATCCTCAAAAATATTTATATTCGTAGAGACCAATGAGATACCAGTTGGTATACTTTGCCAAAATGGACTTCTAAATCTTATTGACAGGTGGTGTGTCCTGTCTTACTTTGTCTTGGTTTTAATTTTAGTTTTCTCTATTATGTCTAATTACTGTTCTATTCAGATAAAATATTTGAAGAATGCTAACCTCTTATCGCTCTTGTGATAAGACATATTTCCAAAGAAAAAGTTTGATGCTTATGTTGCTGGTTATGTATGCTTCATTGAGAAGGCTAAGTTGGCACACTTGAATTTTGATCTTGGATCATTTTTCAGAAGTGATCAGAATTGTGTGGTTAAGTATAGGTACATGAGGCTTCCCTGGTGGTACAGTGGTTGAGAATCTGCCTGCCAGTGCAGGGGACACAGATTCGAGCCCTGGTCTGGGAAGATCCCACATGCCGTGGAGCAACTAAGCCCGTGTGCCACAACTACTGAGCCTGCGCACCACAGCTACTTAAGCCCGTGAGCCTAGAGCCCATGCACTGCAACGGGGGAGGCCATGGCAACGAGAAGCCCACGCACTGCAACAAAGAGTAGCTCCCCCTTGCCGCACCTAGAGAGAGCCCGCGCGCAGCAACAAAGACCCAATGCAGCAAGCAATACATACATACATACATACATTTATTAAAAAAAAAATCGGTACATGTAGAACAGTTAGTGCAATTAGGCCTGCCCTGTGTATGCAGCTGTTGTGCATTAGGATGTTAATTCTGGAGAAAATATCAATTTAATGTAAAAGACCTTTTCCTCCCAGGATTGGCCTTTTGACGATGGAGCGCCACCCCCTAATCAGATAGTTGATGATTGGCTAAACCTACTAAAAACCAAATTTCGTGAAGAGCCAGGTTGCTGTGTTGCAGTGCATTGTGTTGCAGGACTGGGAAGGTAAGTTCTTCCCCTTTTGTCTGTGAATTCATTATCAAAAATTTCACTTTGATAGAAACTGCATTTATTACGCTAAATATTAAGTTGCCTGAAAGGAAAGGAAACGAGAGCAAAAGCTGGTGTAATGATTTCTCAGAATAACTTTTTATGTTTCATTGTCTGAGTCTGGGTTTAGTGGGTGGTGGTTCATAAGTTGTTTTGGAACTGGTTTAATGTAATTATCTTTGAGCCAAAAATACAGTCTTAATTCAGTTTCTCCATTTCCAGTAATCAAAGTTTTAGGTGTTTGAAATGGGCAACAAAGTTAAAATAATTTTAGATTTGAAGAATCTGTACATGATTAATTTTAGATTGAGATGAATGGAAGTTAATAGATGAAGAGCAGATGGTTGAACCTTAAATTCTTGAAAGGAAATGTATGGAGAATGAAAGTTGACTTTGATTTTAAAATCTTTTTCCTTGAGCACTGCATGGAATGGTGTTGCAACACTCATCAACAGTAGATTAAATGTCAATTTATAATGTGCACTTTGACTCCAAACATTAATGCAAGCTGCTGTTGCCTCAAGGTGGTGGTGACTCAGGCTGTTACCTCTGCTCAACCCTTTCGTTCGCTATTTTCCTTTTTTGCAGTTTAGTGTTGTACAGTTCTTCAGGGTCAGACGTCTCTAGTCCTTATCCTGATTTGGGGCAGTTTTTTAAGCTAATAGCTATCCTAGTTAGGTAGTCAGTCCAAAGTTAGTGCCTTATAATGGGCTTATTAAAAACATCATTTCCTTTGTTATATTAATATATATATAGAAAGCAACTCCTAATTACGAATTCTCTGCCACTCTCCCAGCTCATGGAAAGGATTTTGTTGAGGAAGTCTAGCACCTCTTTAGTACTTGATGAAGAGATGATATTAAAATTGATTTGTAACAAAAATTTTGAGACACTCAAGATAATCCATTTGGTCATTTACTATGATAATGGTTAAAGATCAGTGGATTTTTGGTGACATAAAATGATGTGAAAATTTGAGATATAATGTGATGATGTTTTAAAGAGTAAAGATCTTGTAATAAAGGTTTAGAATTTTGTACTTTACTAAAAATAGAAAATACCATAGAAGCTGTAATGATTTAGATATTTTTACTATGTAGAAAAATATCAGATATTTTAGTGTACAGGAACAATGAAAGCTCAAGCTTTACATAATTTTGGTAATAAGTAATCCTGGGTTTTAAAAAATCCTTTAATTCCAAAGACCTGTGGTTATTTACAAATGAGTTTATCTCTGCAGGGCACCTGTGCTGGTCGCACTTGCTTTGATTGAATGTGGAATGAAGTACGAAGATGCAGTTCAGTTTATAAGACAGTGAGTATGAAGTTTTATGTTCAGAAACACATAAAGCAGGACTTCCCTGGTGGTCCAGTGGCTAAGACTCTGAGCTCCCAATGCAGGGGGCCCGGGTTTGATCCCTGGTCAGGGAACTAGATCCCACATTGCCATAACTAAGAGTTCTCATGCCTCAACTAAAGATCCTGCATGCCTCAGCAAAGATCCTGCGTGCCACAACTAAGACCCGGCACAGCCAAATAAATAACTAATTAATTTTAAAAAAACACACAAAGCAAAATCATACAAGAGAAAGAAATTATAAAAAGTACCCATTCATAGTACAGGGTAATTTGCTGCCTTTGGCTTAAAATATTATTTGAAGATATCAAAAATGGCAAGTGATAAAGAGACTCACAATAACACTACTGGCTCCCAGATTTAAAGATTTTCTAATTTAGGTGGCAAATTTGGGCATTGTAGAATATGTCCAGTATATGACTTGAACATCTAGGAGTCTTTAAAATGAATAGCTAGGTAGCTGAGTCTCAGTGATGTGGTGCCTCTTTTAATGGCTGTCCAAAATGCCTTCCAAATGTAACTCTCTGTGACAAAGAGGAAAGGAAGAAACTATAGAGGAGCAGTTAATCACCTAGGATTCTTAAGTGACCTGTTCAGTCACAGAATCAGGATGGTAGTGCCCAGACAGAATCTTGACAGCAGTCTGGAATAACAGGCCATGCTATTTTTTTTGTCCAGAATTCTTTGGCAGTTATTGTCTTGCCCTTTCCCTTTCTAACCTTTTCTTAAAAAGAAAAGAGAAAGAAAGAAATAAAAAAATGACTTTGTGACAAAGGGCATGAAATGTATGGTAGCTCTAGGAAGATAACATGTTTCAAGGAATGCCATCTGTGTCTGCTGCTTCATATAAATACTTCCTCATTTATCCTAAATACTTGCTGCCATTTCTAATATGAAGAATATATTAATTGGGAAGAGTATAGTCAGATGTCTCTGGATTAACCATTCTGATCTTTATTAAACGATTAATAGACTCTAATGAGAGTTAGCAAAGAAAATTTGTCTATTTCTTCTTTTAGGAAGGCACACAGAAAGTTCATGTTTCAGTTCAGCCCTTTCACTTAAGAAGTGATGTTGTATGGGAAATATGCTGGTTTTCAGCTGTGTAGAGTTAGAAAGGCCACAGGCCATAAATACACTTTTCAGTGAATCAGGCAGCTCTTTTTTTACATGATAAAGTGTGCCATTCTTGTATTTTCAGAAAAAGAAGGGGAGCATTCAATTCCAAACAGCTGCTTTACCTGGAGAAATACCGACCTAAGATGCGATTACGCTTCAGAGATACCAATGGGCATTGCTGCGTTCAGTAGAAAGAAATGTATACGAAGGCTGACTTGATCGTGGCATTTAGAGGGAACTCTTGGTACCTGGAAATGTGAATCTGGAATCTTAACTGTGTCATCAAAGTAGTGATGGATTCAGTACTCCTCAACCACTCTCCTAATGATTGGAAAAAAACAAACAAACAAGAATATATCCCTCTATAACGTGAATAAAATGTTTAAGAAAAGAAAAAGAGAAAGAAAAAAAAGGATTAATTTAGTGAAGGATGATTTTGCTCCTAGTGTTGGAGTTTGAATTTCTGCCAGGATTGAATTATTTCAAAATCTCCTGTCTTTTTAAACTTTCTCAAAATAGGTCTCTAAGGAAAACCAGCAGAACATTAGCCTCTGCAGAACCATCTGTTTGGGGAGCACACTCTTCCATTATGCTTGGCACATAGATCTCCCTTTTGTGGATTTCTTTCTTTCTTGGGGGGGGGGGGAGGCACGGTGTATTTTTCCCTTCTTCTCACTTTCGTCTATCCCTCTTTTTTCCCCTGATACAAGTTGTAGGTGAAATAGGAGAAGCCCATGTTGCTGTAGATGTGCGTGCAGTCTGGCAGCCTTAAGCCCACCTGGGCACTTTTAGGAAAAAAAACAAAACAAAAAAACACCAAAAAAAAGAAAAAACAAAAAAAGGCAGTGGCGTATATAGTATATGATTCAGGTGTTTTTTAGTCTTTACTGATGATGGGGTATTCATGTTAGTTTCTTTTCTTGAAAACCCTATTCAACATGAGGCAAAGTAGCCAGGAGCCTTTTTTGTTTTGATAAATTTGTGGGGAAATGGCATTTTAAGAGGAGTCTCTCAAAGAACTTAGCTGAGAGTCGAATTCATCTCTTTTCCAACCAATGAAGCTAAGTGGATGTCCCAGAGATTGTTGTTTTCGGAAGGGGAGTACTCCAGGCCGTCACTAAAGATATGTCCAGGCAGAGCATTAGCACACTTTCTACACCTTGTAGAATTGTGGGCTGTAGCATTACTCTGATTTTCTGTCTAATGATGTCAGAGAATGCTGTTAGTGTAAAGTTTTTATTTTAGGACTTATTTGTACTCTGAATTTTCAGGAACAGTCAAAGGAGTAGCAGCAAAGACACAATATTTTAGACTTGAGAAATGCCTGTAATGGGTATTTCCCAAACTGCCCCCTATATGTACAGTTCAGTTTAACCACTGATTGCCTTGTTATTTTCATACTAGGTTCTTTGTGAGATTAAAAAAAATTTTTTTTGCTGGTTCAAAACCAACAATGCCTAGTGAGTATGTGTCCACAGGCCATAATAGGGTAGAAGAGAGACATAGAGCAGCTCATTGTGTAGCAAAGGGACTGTGTGGCTAGTGCAGTGGTGTAGTATCATTTCTGCAGATTCTTTGCTGGGTTCAATGTACTGATCTAGAAAAGCTATTTTGCTGCTCCTTTGCAGTTGTGACCAGGCTGCATTGACAAAGCAAGTTGGAGGATACCATCAGGGGCTCTTGTACTCTCCAGCTGAATATTACATAATTAATAGTGCTCTGCTTCTAAGGATTTGAATAAAGTCTTACGGTCATCTTGTCCTTTTGGAATTTGCTGTGCAGAGCCATAAACTTCCCATTTTGTTAGGATCAGCTAGGCCAGTAGGAATGGACCAGGACCTTGTTTCACACTGATGATACCTCAGATGTTGGCTGGCTATGTGAACTGCCTATTTCCTATGCCGAGTTGTTTTGATTTTTAAATAAATAAAAATCTGTAGATTCTCTTCTCCCCCATCCCAGAAAACAAAACAAAATAATGCTTTTTGAAATTGTTTCTAGGATTTTAAAGTGAAAAATGATGGTACTATCCAAAATTCTTTATTTCAGAACCTGACAGTAGATTCCTTTAACATAGGCTCAAGATCAAAACAGCATACCCTCTAAGCTCAGATAGACAGTTGACTCCAAGGGTTTTGATCAATACCAGAACAAACCTTTTTCCTTTGACATGCTCTGAGTTTTGTTGTTTGGAGGGAGGGAAGGAGGGAGGGGGAGAGAGAGAGAAAGGGAGAGTGAGCGTGTGAGAGTGTGTGTGTGTGTGTGTGTGTGTGTGTGTGTGAGAGAGAGAGAGAGAGAGAGAGAGAGCAGTATCCACCAGTAACAGTGCCTGCCTGAGTTGGGAAAATTACATTCCTGGTTCTGTATGAGGAGAAGGGTATATAAAACAACATGAAACATTAGCCCTCATTTTGTTTTAAATTACAGACTAATGTTAATTGTTCTCAGAACTGGATTTTCTTCAAAATTAAACATTTTTTTCTTTTGGATTTAATGAAGTATTGCTAGCTGAAGCCAGTTTGACATGGTGAGGGAGATGTCAGACTGATGAAAGGTGTGCAGCCTGATTTAAAACCAAACCCTGAGCCCTTTTAAAGAACAATAAAACATATTTTACATGCTCTTTGTCTGTGCATTTGTTCTCCACCCTCAGGTTGAGTTGTCTCCTTAGAAAACTTGGTATTCTCAAGGCCTGTTTTGGATCCCGCTAATAATTACTTCGGAGGTGAAATAATTAGAGGTTGGGAAGTTCGAAGATTTCATGCCTCCCAGGTGTTCAGTAAGGGCAGACTTAACAGTAGTTGGGATACATCTGGTTCATTTTCTGGTTCAGTTCTTGGACACAACACTGCAGGAATTCAGCATCTTGTCTCTTTTCAAAGGTTGTGTTTATACCATGGGGTTTTTTTTTTTTTTAAGTTATTTTATTTTTGGCTGCGTTGGGTCTTCGTTGCTGCGCGCGGGCTTTCTCTAGTTGTGTCGAGCAGGTTCTGCTCTTCGTTGCGGTGCGTGGGCTTCTCATTGCAGTGTCTTCTCTTGTTGCAGAGCACGGGCTCTAGGTGTGCAGGCTTTGGTAGTTGTGGCATGCGGGCTCTAGAGTGCAGGCTCAGTAGTTGTGGCACATGGTCTTAGTTGCTCTGCAGCACATGGGATCTTCCCAGAACAGCGCTCGAACCCGTGTCCCCTGCATTGGCAGGCGGATTCTTAACCACTGTGCCACCACGGAAGTCCTATACCATAGGGTTATTTATTTATTTATTTACAGCTGTGTTGGGTCTTTGTTGCTGTGCACGGGCTTTCTCTAGTTGCGGCGAGCGGGGGCTACTCTTCATTGCGGTGCGGGGGCTTCTCGTTGCAGTGGCTTCTCATTGTGGAGCAGGGGTTCTAGTCATGTGGGCTTCAGTAGTTGCGGTGGGCGGGCTTAGTAGTTGCGGCTCGTGGGTTCTAGAGCGCAGGATCAGTAGTTGTGGCTCGTGGGTTCTAGAGCACAGGCTCAGTAGTTGTGGCACACAGGCTTAGTTGCTCCGCGGCATGTGGGATCTTCTCGGACCAGGGCTCAAACCCGTGTCCCCTGCATTGGCAGTTGGATTCTTAACCACTGTGCCACCAGGAAAGTCCTACCGTAGGTTTTTTTGTTTTTTTTTTTTGCGGTACGTGGGCCTCTCACTGTTGTGGCCTCTCCTGTCGCGGAGCGCAGGCTCAGCAGCCATGGCTCACGGGCCCAGCCGCTCTGCGGCACGTGGGATTTTCCCGGGCCAGGGCACGAACCCGTGTCCCCTGCATTGGCATGCGGACTCCCAACCACTGCGCCACCAGGGAAGCCCACCATAGGGTTTTGATGAAGCACTGAAACTTTACTTGAACACTTTGAAGAACAGTGAGAAAGGAGGAAGTTTATATATCGGATTTGGGGGTGGGAAATTTCCCTTTAAGCCATGGGTAAAACATCATCCAGATAACACATTCATGTGGTGAGGTACGAAGAATGAAAAGGTAAGACACAGATCCCACTTTGGAGGAAGGACCTCAGTCCAGAAGAGGAGCCAGATATGTAGACTTAAACAGAGTGAGTGGTTACAGAACTATGTGACTTATAATTCACTGATACTCTCACCTCATGTCCTTCATTATGCAGCTTAGATTCTGTGGTCCAGTGTTAGAGTTACTATTGGCTACATAGTAAATTGCTTTGCCCCAACTGTTGCTTCATTATACTTGTCTGGTTGAACTCCATTTTAGGTTAAGTTCAGTATGCCGCCTTCTCTGCACTTACGCAACTGAACTTGCTGGAACAGTTTCTGTGTGTGTTTTTTTTTTTTTTTTGCGGTACGCGGGCCTCTCACTGTTGTGGCCTCTCCCGTTGCGGCTCCGGACGCGCAGGCTCAGCGGCCATGGCTCACGGGCCTAGCCGCTACGGGGCATGTGGGATCTTCCCGGACTGGGGCACGAACCCGTGTCCCCTGCATTGGCAGGCGGACTCTCAACCACTGCGCTAGCAGGGAAGCCCAGTTTCTGTGTTTAAAGTCATGATCTCAAGTAGACCTTAGTACCATCTGACAATCCTACTGTGTTTCTCTATCCCATTTACTCTTTTTGTCCCCTTGAAAGCTCTTACATTTTAACATCTTTCTCATCCTCACTCTCCGCTTAAGACTTTAAAAAAAAAAAAACCTTAGAAAATAGAAACAAGGAAATTCCACAGGCTTCTACCATCACATCTTTGTTAGAAGTACTTTGAGTCACTTTTTAAAATTTATTTTTGGCTGAGTTGGGTCTTCATTGCTGCTCGCTGGCATTCTCTAGTTGAGGGGAACGGGGGCTACTCTTCGTTGTGGTGTGCAGGCTTCTCATTGGATGGCTTCTCGTTGCGGAGCACGGGCTCTAGGCACGTGGGCTTCAGTAGTTGTGGCACACGGGCTCAGTAGTTGTGGCACATGGGCTTGGTTGCTCTGTGGCATGTGGGATCTTCCCAGACCAGGGCTCGAATCTGTGTCCCCTGCATTGGCAGGTGGATTCTTAACCACTGCGCCACCAGGGAAGCCCCTGAATCAGTTTCTTAATAACCAGTAGGGCCTTGACTAGAAGGGATTATACAAATATCATGTTAAGTGCTGTGATTATAGCACCTATAGGAAGAGTGATGATTTACTTGGTATTTGAGCACCTGCCACATACTACACACTATTCTAAGCACTTAGGATATGGTGGCAAATAAGACAGATGTTGCCCTTACAGGGTTTAAATTCTAGTGGAGAAGATAGAGAATAAATAGGTACACATAAGTAATACACTTTCAGATAGTGGTTCGTACTGTGAAGCTAGGAAGAAAGTAAAATAGGTAAGGGGCTAGTGACTGGGGTTATGTGTGGAGTTAGGTGGGATGGTCAGGGAAGATCTCTGAGGAAGGTGAAGGAGGCTACTATGTGCAAATGCTACGTGAAGGCAGTGGAAGTACTTTCCAAGCAGTGTAGGTGAAATCTATATTTTGGCTGAGCTGCGCAGCATGCGGGATCTTAGTTCTACTAGGGAGCGAACCCTGTCCCCCTGCAGTGGAAGCGTGGAGTTTTAACCACTGGACCGCCAGGGAGGTCCCATGAAGGTGAAATTCAGGCAGAGGCCAAATTGTGTGGATTTTGGGAGGCTGGGAAGATGGGAGTCATATCGTAGAGGGTATTGCATATCATAACAAGAAATTTGAAAGTTTATTTACTGTTTTTAATCAGGAGGAAACATCAGACTCAACTATGTGGTTTATTCAAAGTATCCATGTCCAGGCATCACTAAGGTCATTCTGAATCAGTCTTGAGTTGGGAATCTATTCTGGGCAATGGGGAGCCTCTGGAGGTTGGTAAACAAAGAATTGCATGGTCAGATCTATACTTAAAAAGCTTATTCAAGAAATCCTTAAATTAGAGACCATACCTTTTACGTAAACTCAGTGGCTGATTTATACTATGCATGCAATAAATAACAGTTGAATGAATGAGAATGTATTGAAGAGAGTAGAAGGTGAGAGACCATTTATGTGTAGTAGGTTGATGGCTTGCAATAGGCCAGGAGAGGTGTTTTTAGTGTTGGGGCATCCGTCTCCTTTGCTAATTTGGTGTTGGGGCAGTCAGGAAGTTGGAGGCACAAGGAGATATTACTAGCCAATTTCTGCTGAGTATGACTGGACTCAGAATTTCACTTGCATTATCTCATTTAATCTTCATAGGCTTCTGCTCTTTGCTAACTGCTTGACTGTACTGCTAGAGTAGAACGGCGAGATGTTTATGTTCAGCATGTTGCTGTGGGTTTTTGTACTCAGTACCTATTAATTGAGCTGCATCTTTATGTTAAATGTTGGGGGCGGGGGAGAGAGGAGCACATGTGTCTGTGTACAGCAGTTCTGTCTAGCCACTGGCTTCAACTTGTGCAAACTGTGTGTAATGGGCCCCACCACTAACAAACCAGGACATTTGAGCAGAGTGGTTTATAGTTTATAATTGGCTTCCTATTACTGTTGGCTGATTCTCCTGCACAGAGAGTATTACTCCAGGATTGGTATTTGATTTAAGAAATTTTCAAATTGATTTTATCTTCAGTGCATTAATGCGTGGCCTAAATTCTTGCAGAGCCATTAGATAACCAGCCTGGACATGCTTTAGCAATTATAACTGGATCTGAGCTGGCAGTGCTACAGCTTTTATTCAGCATAGATAAATCACTTTTCTGAAAACTCTTTTCTGCTTAAGCCCTGTGACTTATTTTTTAGGACACCTCAAGTTTAGGCCCCTTGAAATTGGAATATATTCCCCAAATCATGCTAAGACACACAAACAGGAATTTGTTAACACAAGTAGAGTTAATCTCTATCTTCCTGTCAGAACAGAACACAAATATTCAAGGAATGGTGTGGAAATCAGCGTAATTTTCAAGCGTGCACAATAGTAATGCCTTTTAAAATCTGGAAATATGAAATGTGACTCCAGTAATGAAAATGCTATAAACGTAACTGAGTACATGGAAAACTGGAGGATGTTCTGCAATTTCATGAGGATTAGCATAGGTAAATGTTTTTCGTGAAACATTTTTTTTCAGCTCTAGAAGTGCAGAATAGATCACAGCTGCATGAAAATACCAATCATCTTCTAATGCTTTTATGCAAATGATTATATTTGACTTTCACTTAGAGTTGCCATTAACACCTGGAACCCTAAGATTGATAACAGGTAAAATTTTAATGAATACATAAATTAGAGATTTGAATCATGTTTAGATTAATTTATAGCACCTTTATTCATTACTGCAAATCCTCTTGAAATCTAAAAATCACAGGATGAGACAGAAAATAGAGAAGAGGAGACAGCCTTTGAACTTATCAATTTTTTTTAGTGGTGAAAAAGGATGACTTGGAAATACTAAACCCTGCAAGTGTTTTGTTCTGCCCTTTGCAATAATTTGCCCAGATGCTAGGCCTGCGTATCCTGCAGAAGACTTTTATTTTCTCATGCCCTGAGATAACACTGGTCTTCTTTTTTTTTTTTTTAATGATTTTTCTTCCTATGCACACTCCTTGCTTTAAAAAATACTTTTTAAAAAAAATGAAAGTCAAAATTGTCTTGTTTTAGACGTTTTGGGAAATACAGAGGATGTGAAGAAAAAAAACCTCATTGTCCTGACATCCAGGGACAACCATTATTATATGGTATGTCTTTTCCCCTCCTTACCCCCATGTATAATTGTATTTATATAATTATGTATCTTCCTTTTCCACTTACAAAGCCAAAATAGTATTTACATTTATTGAAAGTTTACCATGTGCCAGGCACTGTGCTTAGTGTTTTAAGTGTATTATCTATTGAGTGGTAGATAATATTACCTTCATTTTACAGGTTAGGACATGGAAGCTCAGAAAGGGTAAGTACCTTGTCCAGTATCACACATTTAGTAAGTGGCAGAGCTAGAATTCTAACCTGAAATGTCTAACTCAGAAACCCTGATGATATCACTGCGCTATACTCCCCTTGCATTCAGTAAGTGGAAGCTGTTACTATTAACTGAAACCAAGTTGTCCCCTGAGGGCACTGTTTTCTCTGCAACTTCAAGGAACAAAAACTGCTCATTCTCCCATGACCCATGTACTACAAAGGCCAGTGGGAGATGAGGGGTCGGCTCTCTGTGGCCACGTGCAGACCATTGTTCTTCTGCCCTTGGGTAATACCAGCTTGAGACAGTTATCTTCAAGCTGTTACAACCACTACCCCTCATTGTTGCTCTCCTCTGCTGCTCTCCCCATCACTCAATGCATGGAGTTCCTTGGACCTTGAAGGCCCACCCTTGTCATTCTCTCGTCCTTGGCAGATTCAGTGCCTCCTCCAGCCGCTCGGCATCGAAGGCCTTTACTGCCTTAAATCCAATGGCCCATTCCCATAGGAGTGAGACTGTTGCCTCTGATGTAGTCAGGAGGTTAAACAATGTCTGGGGGGAAATCAATTGTGTGTACATGTGTGTATATCTACACATGTACATATATACATATACACATATGTTTACTATACATTTTACTGTATAAAGGATGTGTAACGTACAATTTTAAAGTAATAAAATATGCATTACTCTTTATTGTAAATTCCATATAGCCAATTAATTCTCACAGAATGCTTTTGTTGATTTTTGCCAAACTGTTATATCCTAGCCAAACTATGGTTGCAATTGACAAACCCACCATAAATGATGGCCGATATTTTCCCTTTTGTTAAAGACACAAAAGTAGAACAGTGAAGACTTATGTTAGAACTTCACTCATTTATCAATGATGTGACTTCTTTGTGGAATTGGAAAATAGTTTCTGAATGCTGGAGGACTATTTCTTCAATTTTTTTGGTGCTGCTTACAATGTAATGGCTACAGACAGGATGCACTTTTAAGTTTAATATGCATTCCTAACATTTTCTCCATTAATTTCTTTTTTTAAAATTTATTTACTTATTTATTTTTATTTTTGGTTGCATTGGGTCTTCATTGCTGTGCACGGGCTTTCTCTAGTTGCCGCGAGAGGGGGCCGTTCTTCCTTGCGGTGCGTGGGTTTCTCATTGTGGTGGCCTCTCCTGTTGCAGAGCACGGGCTCTAGGCGCGCGGGCTTCAGCAGTTGTGGCACGTGGGCTCAGTAGTTGCAGCTCGCAGGCTCTAGAGCGCAGGCTCAGTAGTTGTGGTGCACAGGCTTAGTTGCTCCACGGCATGTGGGATCTTCCCGGACCAGGGCGCGAACCTGTGTCCCCTGCATTTGCAGGCAGATTCTTAACCACTGTGCCACCAGTGAAGCCCTCCATTAATTTCTTTTTTTTTTTTTTTTTCTACGGTACGCGAGCCTCTCCCTGCTGTGGTCTCTCCCGTTGCGGAGCACAGGCTCCGGCCGCACAGGCCCAGCGGCCATGGCTCACGGGCCCAGCCGCTCCGTGGCACGTGGGATCCTCCCGGACGGGGGCATGAACCCGTGTCCCCTGCATCGGCAGGCGGACTCTCAACCACTGCACCACCAGGGAAGCCCGAGGGGACTGCTCTTCGTTGTGGTGCATGGGCTTCTCATTGCAGTGGCTTCTCTTGTGGAGCATGGGCTCTAGGCGCACAGGCTTCAGTAGTTGTGGCACGCGGGCTCAGTAGTTGCGGCTCGCGGGCTTTACAGCACAGGCTCAGTAGTTGTGGCGCATGGGCTTAGTTGCTCTGTGGCATTTAGGATCTTCCTGGGCCAGAGCTCAAACCCGTGTCCCCTGCATTGGCAGGCAGATTCTTAACTACTGCGCCACCAGGGAAGCCCTATATATATTCTTAGGATTACAATTTCCTACCCATAAAAAAAAAAGAAATAAAAGAAAGTAATGCACAATAAAATGTATTTAAAATTTTTAAACACTTAGGCGTGATTACCCTAGAAGTGACTGCAATAGATGTTTGCATCTACACGTAGAATCACCCTGGAGGCCACGGCTATAAATGTAGACTGATGGCTATGTGTTGCACTTCAGAAACTATGAGCATTGCTATTGGTGACAAGCTCTTTCAAAAGCAATTCTCTATACAGACCAAATCCCTTGATTTTCATTTGAGTTGCACTCCTGGGAAGTATTTTTAAAAACCATGCTTGTATGTAAAATGGATATAGATTCTAGGCTCAGATATTTTTATAGGTTTTTCATCTTTATAAATGTGCAGTGGGGCATTTGAAAGTGGATCACGGGACCATTCTGTATTATGTGGGATATCCTAAATTTTCCAGATGTCTAGAACCCCTGGCCCCTTCCTCTAAACGTCATCATTCTGTAATGGGTATTTCCTCACTGAGAACCACTGAAGCTATTCCAACCATCTCCTTTTCCAGACCAGTTTACTGGGGCTTAGAGAGGGAATTTAAAATAGACATGTATTACTTTGACTGCTTGTTCACCCCATCCACACCTTCAGCCATGTGATCACGGTGGGAGATGTCTTGCCTAGTAAGCAGGATTCCACCTCGGCCACGTTTATCCACTTTATTCTTTTCTTTGCCTATACACCATCTTTTTTCCCTAACCTTCTCCCTCCTTCCCTAACACCCAACCCGTTAGCAAGTCCTGCTGGTGTGCCTTCAATATGTGCCTTCTACTGGTGCCCTGCTACAACCTATTCTCATAGCAGCCAAAGGAGCTTTTGAACAAAACTCACATCAAGCCAGTCCTCTGCTTCAACTGCCCCAGAGGCTTCCCAAGACACTGGGAATAAAATGCAACTTCCTCTCCCTGCGCTGCAAGGCCCTACATGGTCTGGCCTCATCTCCTTCCATTATCCTGACTATGCTCCAGCCACCTGGCCTCACAGACCTGCCCCAGGGTCTTTACACATGCTGTTCCCTCTAACTTCTCTTCTGCCAGATCTTTGGAGAGCTGACCCCTTATCCTTCATGTCTATTCAAATATCACCACCTTAGAAACCATCCTTGGCCACCTTATCTAAGATAACTCCATGCCCCATCACTCTCTATCCCCTTTCTCTCAGTTTTGCTCTTTGAAGCACTTACCATGATTTGAAGTGGGAGTGTTTATTTGTTGGCTCGTTTATTGCCTGCCTCCTCACTAGATTGTAAGCTCCACTGGGGCAGAGACTTCATTAGTCTCATTCTCTGAGGGATCCTGGGGCCTAGCACAGTGTCTGCAAGTGCTGATCAATAATTTTTTTTTTTTTTTTTTGCGGTACACGGGCCTCTCACTGTTGTGGCCTCTCCCGTTGTGGAGCACAGGCTCCGGACGTGCAGGCTCAGCGGCCACGGCTCACGGGCCCAGCTGCTCCGCGGCATGTGGGATCTTCCCGGACCGGAGCACGAACCCGTGTCCCCGGCATCGGCAGGTGGACTCTCAACCACTGCGCCACCAGGGAAGCCCTGATCAGTAATTTTTGAATAAGTGAACAAAGGCCTAACACACAACTCAGAACGGACCAATCAGAATCCTTCTCCATGAATTTTGCAACTTGACTCAGAGAGAAGTTCCTTTTTGTTTTTTTTTTTTGATACCTGGGCCTTACAATATAAAGCTCAGAGAGTACTGGCTGCTGAATGTTCTGCCTTTCAGGCCAAAGAACTGGAGAGAGAGAAGAATGATGTAGGCATATGGAGAGCCAGAGAAAAGAGAGAGAGAAAGATGAAGAGAGTATATTTGCAGCAGTGGCTGGTGGACATCAGATGTCCCTGGGGTCCAGTTGCTAACCTGGTCTAGGTGTGTGTGTGGATGTGCCCACGTGTATGTCCTGTTTGTAAAAATCAATTTCATTGAGGCGTAATTTACATGCAGCAAAAATCACTGATTTTAAGTATGCAATTTGATGAACTTTAATGCTGTGTACAGTCGTGTAATTACCACCACAATCAAGATATAGAACATTTCCTTCAACCCAAAAAGCATAACCTCTGGAACTTGAGTTCCACATGATACTCCATGATTCTTTTTGTAAAAAACAGTTTTGCTGAGGTTTTATATACAATAAGCTGCACATATTTAAAGTGTGTAATTTGATAAGTTTTGACATATGTATACACCCGTGAAACCATCACTATAATCAAGATAGTGAACATCTCCATCACCCCTGAAAGTTTCCTCCTGCTTCTTTGTAATCCTTCCCTCTCATCCCCCTTTACCCCAACCCGAGCAACCACTAATCTGCTTTGTGTCACTATAGATCAGCCTGCATTTTCTAGAGATTTTTATAAATGAAATCATGCACTCCTTTTTGGTCTGGCTTTTTTCATTCAGCAATTTGTTTTTTAGATTCATCCATGTTGTTGCAAGTATCAGTAGTTAATTCATTTTTATTGCTGAGTAGTATTCCGTTGGATTGATTGCCACAATTTGTTGGATATTTGGGTTGTTGCCAGTTTGGGATTATTACAAATAAAGTTGCTATGAACATTCCTGTACAGGTCTTCATATGGACATAATGTTTCTTTTTCTCTTGGACAAATACCTAGGAGTGGAATGGCTGGATCCTGTTACCCTTACGTTATTCTTTTTTTTTTTCTTAAACTTGGATGCATTTGCGAAGTGTCCATTAACAGCATTTTAATTTTTTTTTAATTTTTTAATTTTATTATTTTGGCCACGCGTCTTGTGGATCTTAGCTCCCCACCAGGGATCGAACCCGGGCCCCCAGCAGTGGAAGCGCAGAGTGCTAACCAATGGACCGCCAGGGAATTCCCTCCCTTGTGTTATTCTTAATAATATGTTTCACTTTTTGGCTGAAACTAATCAATTTAGGATTGGTCAAGGCCCCTCATCAGGATGGGGACTCAGTTCCCTCCCTCTCAAGGGTCTCAAGGCTGCCTCTGGTCCTATGTGAGCCGTGGTGCAGTGGCAGGCTGAGGGGCACCTTATCTTCCTGAGCACGTCTCGATG